CGTCACGTTGCGAAGTTGCTCCCGCAATCCCCAGCATCCCCGGACAAGTTGTCACTTACTGAACAGGAGGTCTGGCAAAATAGCTTCTAAAAAGCATCCCCTTCGGTTTTCGGGGATATTGAAAGCGATCTGGAGGTCTCACTTTGCCGCTTTGCGGCTCCGGTTGGAGCTGCGCCAGCTCACGTCAGGTACGCGCTACGGGCCCAGGCATCCTCGCTTTCGTGGCTCGGTGGGAATTCGGCCGTCCCATGGTTGTCAAGGGACCCCAGACCTGGGTGGGAGGGGATCTGGCTGTGGGTCAAAACCAATGGGACCCCATTTTGGGGTAGGTGCACCACCCGTTCTAGTCTATTTTAGCGGGGATTGGGATGTTCACCGGGGGTACGGGATTTTGACCCATGGCCATCTGGTGACAGCCCAGAAAAGTGATGGCTCTTAACCCTTAGCACCTCGGAAAGCCTTGGGGCAGGGTTGAATAGGTTTAACTCAGTTAGTATCCACGAACTATCCTATCTACGTAACCTACCCACCTTTGTATCCATCAACCCACCCATCCATCCAGCCACTCATCCATCCACCCACCCTTCCATCCATGCATCCATCCATCTATCCATCTATCCATCTACCTAATTGTCGATTTTTTTTTCTCTCTCTCTCTCTCTCTCTCTCTACGTCTCTATCTCTTTACCTATCTACCTTACTTTTGTAGGCTCCAATCGGTGGTTTGGACTGGCCGTTCGGAGGTGTTCCGTGGTTTCCCACGTACCCTCTACAAGAACCAGGGCTTCAAATCCCAATCCAAACCAAGCCACCAATGGGAGCTACGCCGACATGGGGCATCTTTTTTCGTGAGGCCCCGGCCAACGCGCCCGGCCGGGACGCCCAGTGCCCGGACCAGGTGAGGTGCTGGAGCGGGCTTCGCGGATGAGCTTGCGCGCAATTTGTGTCTTTTTTTTAAGACATTGGCCTCATCCCTTTCGGTTGACCAGCTTGTTTCCGGTTTTTGAAGCATGACCATATGTGTCCTTTTTGGTTGGATTGAACAATAGAGGGCAATTCCTGGCTTGCCTGGTCAATCATCCACCAGGGCCATCGATTCTCCAAACAGGACAGCTATGAGACAAGCCATTGCACAGAGTGCGCCATGGTCAAAACCTGGTTACAGTACTTGGGGCAAGGGGCAAGGGGACTAGTTTTGAATCCGGGTGGTCTTTTTGTTAGGGACCCACCAAGGACACCTCAAAGCGGACCGAAGAAGAACATCCTGGTCATTTATACGATAACTCTCCCTTTCTTTTCAGGACGTGTCGTTTTCATTGAGAGCTGCTCTTTGGAATGAGCGGCGGGTTTTCACAGAATGTCAGGTACCCTCGAAACGACCCAACCTCCACCCTCCACACCGGGGCCGGGATCCGCCTAAAACGAGGGCAGCTGAGAATCAACGAACCAGCTAGTCTGTCTCTTACGAACCCAAATGAATTTGCCATTGTAGGAACAAAAGAGGCACCCCGGATCTAAGTACCACTTGTTGATTTTGAGAGAATGAGATTCGTCACTGGACACAGGACCCGCTATGAGAAGGGTGCTCTCAGATGTGGGAAGATAGGCCCCCTTTGAGCGGGCTGGTGAAGAGCCTAAGTGCAAGGTTCCTGTTGGAAAGCCGGCCGAGGCTGTGTTGCCCACACGGACTCAGCCCAGGCGCCTTGGCATTAGCGGTCTCAGGGCGAGATGGCAAGTCCAAAAAACGGTTTGAACAGGAATACTCCATTTGCTTAAAACATATGTTTTGTTTTCCCTTTTTGGTTTTAACGGGAATCTATCACTACTGGAATTATGTGTTTTTTTTCTCCAGGGGGCTTAAGCAAATGGAAGCATACCGTTGGTCTTGGACTTCAACGAACGGGGTTTGACTTCCATTTCCATGCGACACCCGGACAACACCCTCATGTTGGCGGGCAAGCTCGTGCCGGCGTGCCCGAACTTCAGCAAGTGCGTGCGTGCGTGCGTGCGTGCGTGCGTGCGTGCGTGCGTGCGTGCGTGCGTGCGTGCGTGCGTGCGTGCGTGCGTGCGTGCGTGCGTGCGTGCTTGCGTGCGTGCGTGCGTGTTTGTGTGTGTGTGTGTGTGTGTTTTTAGTTGGTACCCCTTTGCTTGTGGTTTTTAAAGGTAAACCAAAAGGAACGCGACCATTTTGGGTGGGGTCTTCTGAACACACCCAAGTGGGAAGCATTCTCCGTGAGCAACATGACGAATACGTTGGAGTTTCTTCTGGAGAAGATGAGGCACAAGTGCTCCAGGGTGGGCCTTCTCTGCCGGAAATTCTGGGATGCAATTGGGGGCGAAGTGAGCTCTTCCATGATGAAGTTCCCCTACTTGGCGAGTGCTTGTTGGGTTGAACATAGTATGGAGCTTCCACCGCGGCGGAAGAAACAGAAGGTTGTTTAATCAAAATGATCTGATTCGCTTAGTTTCTATGTCAGTGGATTCCAGGCAAACCCATATAGGCCTTCGCTATGTTCCTTTTTTCAACATCGGGTGGCTCCCTTGCTTATACAGGTAAATAGATATATTCCTTGTGCGGGGTTTGCAGACAAGTTTCCGAAGTGGTCTGTCTTCTCAAGGGATTCCGAAACCTGGCAAACGCCCTTCGAACGGGTCCTTGGCCTCACAACACTCGGAGCTCGGCTCAAATGATCCAACCGAGGCGCATTGTGCACAGCCGCGAGGGTGCGGAACTTAGGATGGGACCGACCCATATGAGTTTGTCTGCCTTTTGAGGGTACCCTTTCCAGGGTGGTTTTGAAGGGAAACCAAGAGGACACCTTTCATTTTCGGTGTTCCCATATTTTGAGACAAGCCCATACCAAAGGAGGCACACACTCCATTTTATCCCTTGCTCAAAGCCGACCTTTCAGGTAATTTGACTCCCGACCTATACACCTGGCGGATTAGTAGGGGTGCATCCCCAAACATGAGGGTCAAGGGTTAAGCTTCGACATAAGTTAGGCAAGGAACCTTCCCTCAAAGAGGGTTTCTACTCGGGAAGAGAAAAAGGGGTCAGCACGTAAACTCGGTCATCTTTTGTTGGTGTCTCAAACAAGGTTGAAGAAATAGACTCCCTTGAGGGTGTCCACGCTTTGAGGTCCTCGGGTGAAATGTCGCTGCACCTGCTTGAAACAAACAAGGATGGCTGTCACATACCCCTGACGGTCTATCCCTGACAACTTCGAACCACATAGTTCTCGGCCTTGTATAGCTGATATGTAGCTAGGCGTGGGTAATCCGAGGTCTAGTGAATTGGGCCCCAAGTTCGGAGACCACCCGCAGGGCCAACTTGGACCCAGGAATGCACTGCTGGTAGGTCACACACCCACCCGCGTTTGTCCCGTTTTCCCCCTGTTTTTGGGGAAGGGGTCCCATTTAGTCTCAACCACAGAAAGGGATGCCCTGTTTTTTCCCATAGCAACTGGGCAACTGAGGGAATCCTCAACTGGGCAATGCGTGGAAGGCCCCCAAAGGGAGCCTTCACCCATGTCCCGTTTGTGTGTACTTATCTACTTTGTATGAGGAGGGGCTTCACAAAAGGTCCTGTACATGGGATGACCATTCAAGGAAACCACGAAAAATATGTTGTTTCCCACCAAATGGGAAAAGTTGCCCATGGTCATTTGGGGGCCAACAACCCCAATATACAAATCTTGGGTGAACGATGGCACAGTACTTTGCATTTGGGCTTCAACACTCCGACAGAGTTTGACATGAAGCGCCATTTGCTTTCATAGGAGCCCTCTGAAAGATATGAAGGCCCAAATTGGCCAAGACTCAGATGAGGTCTTGGAGGGACCTTTTGTCCCTGACTCCCTGAGTTGCGGGACTTTCTACTTTTGGGAAGACCATTTTAGCGGCGAACAAGAGGTCCTGCCAATAAACCTTTAGGAATACTTTTTTGGGAAGACTTTTGGGTCCAAACTGCGAGTCCTTTTTGGCAAATTTCAGCTGCGAGTCTTCCGTGAGTTCAGACCTTTTTTTTCGGCCAATGAACTCAGGAAGTGAGGAAAAGAGATCCATGGCCACTGGGTTCGCCCAGGCGCTGGCGAAGTCGCCCCTAGAGACTCGAGAAGTGACCCAAGGCAAGTTGCTGCCGCATCCTTTGTGGTTCACTGGGTTCCACCGTTACCCCCTGTTTCTGAGTTGAGATTTGTTTTTCTTTCTTTTTTGCTTGTGCATTTTTCTCAGTTGGCATGTCTTTGTTAGGACTCACAAATTGGCGGTTTTCCTTGCGGTGCCCCTTTAAAACCAACGAAACAAGGGGGGAACCCTCAAACAGAGACACACCCAATTGTCCGACAAAATCTGAGCTTTCGGTTTTCCAATGGTGGAAGGTCTCAAAAAGGGTTCTCTTATAAAAGAAGCTCAGGTGATATCCTTAACAGCATGCGGTGCTCTTTTTTGTACTCGCACCACCCCGCAGCCCTCGCAGAACCTCGTGGAACCCTGGTGGAACCCTGGTGGAACCCTCGTGGAACCTTACCTCAGGGCCGCCCCGGACCACCCCGGAGCTTATCTGGGCTGAGACCCCAAAGCTTTCAGCTGTTGGGGAAAACCATCCAGGTCCCGAACAGGCAAGTCTGAGTTCTGCTTGTTGGTTGACTGAGATGGGCTCACCCCGGCCCACTGGGCAGTTGGGTCTTTTCTACCAATCTGGGGGAACAGGGCGAAAACCTTTGGTTTTGCAAGGGGAAGCCGAAGGGACAAATTGCCGTTTTGGGGTTCCCGATTTAGACTCTTATCTAGGATCTAGGAATTCGAGGAGAAAGCAAGTTGTTGGGGGGTTCAGACAAGTTTAGATCGCTTACTACCAGGAGATGTGCAGGAGACAGTTGAGTAGTTGCTCGGCCCATGCCTGAGCCTTTGTGCAGGTTACGCGGAGCTTTATCTTCCAGTTCACCCATTTCTGCGCAAATCATGACGAGGTCTATACGTAGGTGAAACAAGCTCAGGCAATGATGAACTACAGTTCCCAGATGGACGTCGTCCCCATCCTAGCACTGTGCAGAGGTTCCCGACGGGACGTGGCTGGAGTTTTACTCGGTCGCTTTTGGGGTCATTTCGAGAGATCTGAACAACTTGACTGCTACTGGGTTGGATTTTAGACTTTAACTTTTTGGGAAATCAAGGGGGTTTCCACTAAGCTCACAAAAAGTTATAAACTTTTTGCACGGGGGTCAACAGCAACAAAGACAAGGCCAGCTTAAACGTTCAATTCGGCCGCTTCTGAAAGCTGGCGAAAACAAAGCACGGCGCCAGGCAAGAAGAGCCTGGAGGCGAGCCGAGCTTGGTGTTTGATGGGCAAACACTGCTGGGGTCTCCTCAAGCCTGCCGTTGCCTTCGGGCAGATAGAATCTGAACATACGGTTTTTCGGTGTATTCCAGAGTGGATGGACAGAATCTGCTCTGCACCAGTAGGTAGGTGGTTTATCCCGATCATTTGTGAAGGATTTTGTCCATCACAGTTCAGGTCCCTCCACCCCTCAACAGATCCCCTCTGAAATGGGACACTTCATTGTTCCAGGATTGCGACTTCCACGAACCTGGCAAGGAGACCAACCATGTTCGGGGTTTGTTTCCGCCATTCGCATTTGACCCAGCGGCCTAATGGGCAATGCCTTTCCCCTCACCTCAGGGTGGGCAGGGAGGAGTGGGACCAGCAATGATGGAGTCCCTGGGTCACTTTCTTGTTCATTGTGTGATTAGTTGTCTTCTTTGTTTGTGTTGTTTTTTTGCTTTTTGTTTTGTTTGCTTTAATTTGTTTTGTTTGTTGTTTGTGTTGGTCTGTTGGTTTGTTGGTTTGTTGGTTTGTTCGTTGGTTCGTTGGTGGGCTCGTGGGGTCGTTGGGTGGGTGGGTGGGTGCAAAACCAGCCGGGGAAAAACACATTCTTAGCCGAATGCAAGTAACAGACCTCCTGCGATCCTTTTTCAGATTTGGATCCCCAGCTCCCCAACCGACCAGCAGGGAATGAGGAATGACCCATACAAACCCATCCCAAATGGCTTCCTTTTAGGAATCAGCTTCAGTCCCAACTTTTGAAGAGGTCCGCAAAATGGTTCACAGTTCGGACAACCCAGGTGGGTGTGTGTCAAAGGCCCCAAATAGTGGCTTTCCCTTTGAACTAACCTGAAAAGGGTTGCCGTGCAGCAGAACAAATCAAGCCCAGATCCTTTCAGTAGGGCTTTATATTCATCGCCAGGGGAGTAGATTGTGGTCCGTGAAGCACAGACGGCGAGGTCTTGGTGGAACGACCACCGTTCACTCCTTGCTTTCAAGCCGTGCCCTCAACGAGCAGAACAAATGGGAGAGGACATGTGTCAAAACCAAAAACCCACCGACCCAAAGTCAAGGACCCCAAAAGGGATGCGATAAACACGGGCACCAGGAAAGCATGTTGCACGGGCTTTAGAACCCGACAAAGGCCAACCTCATCAGTTTTCCAGGCATATGGAGGACTTGCAAAATGTCGACGACTCACTGTTTTGCTCAAGGTCCAAGACGGGCAGTCAGCATGGTTTACCACGGCACCATGTGAAGTCAACAGGAATGATGTGGGCAAGAGCGAGGAGTATTGCGCCCTTCACGTTTCTGTTAGGATGGTTCTGCTTGGTGCAGCGCTGTGACGTGGTCGTGGTTTGATTTTGGTTTCCTCAAAGTAGCTTGTTTCAGACAACCGTCGCCCCAACTGCTTGACTCTGTTCACATTGCCGCGTGTTGGCTCTACCAGAAAGTACATTTCAAATTTGAGGGGACACCGCCATCTAGGCTGGCAGAGAATAAGTCAAACTTTTGGTTGAACTCCAACATCTTGGCAAAGGCTAAGTTGAACTCTTGAACTCGCAAATCTGGGCACATGTGTCACATGACAGGTCGACCTTTTGCTGGAACCACCACAAAATCTATAAACAAGTTGGACGGATTTTGGCGCAAAGAGCCCTGTGATGTTCGCGTTTCGTGCGGGGATTCCTTCGGCATTTTGGAGGCCGCTTAATGGGCCAAGGAGCTTAGCCTGGGAGCAAAAATTCCAGATTTATGATATGGGTCGTTGAGTCGGTGCCCCCGATTTTTTGTTCCCGGTCTTAAGGGAAATTTCAAAGGAAAACCGAAGGGTCCTAAAACAAGTCACACTCAAACATAATAATCATATTGCTTCAGCCAGACGCTTTCCTGGGTTCTCGAAATGATGTTTCCTTTTAGGGACCGCATTTTAGCGGAAGACCAGCATCTTAAATGACTCCCTCAGTGACTCCCGTAGTGATCGGGTTTGGATTCCCTTGCTCCCTTCGCGGATGACACACCTCGCGCTGGTCATGAGGCTTTATGTCTTCTCCCATTTGCTGAAATGTGTATTTGTGGATTAGTTTCCCTGCTTGGTTTTGGAGGGCATCCATGACTGCTTTGGACAATGCATTTCTGGTTGTGTTCCAGGCAATTTATCACAGGACAGACGATATTGTATTCCTGGTTGGTTTTAAAGGAAACCCATGACTTCTGGACATATGTTTCCCTGGTTGGTTTCAAGGGAATCTAGCACTGGACATAGATTTTCTACTTTTTGCAAGCGGACGGCGAAGCAAACGGCGGGAACGAGGCCTCTTTTACGAAAGCGGACTGGTTGCAGCTGTGCGCGGGGCCCCAGACCCAGATCGGGGCCCGGGCTCCTGATTCTTTTGCGAGCTCGAGCCGGGGCGTTTAGTTTTTTCAGCGCAGAACTCGTTTTGAGGTGCCGTGTTTTTGGGGAACCCCGTTTTGTTGGCGTGTAAGAGGCAGAGCAAAAGGACACCAACCCATGTTTTTGACCCCAGAGTGAGCAGGACAGGAATGGCATGGCCATTTCAGCACAAGCCAACGGATCGCGAAGCCGGCTTCTTTCGCACCTGCCAGTGACCACGTTTCGAGGGACAATTTGGCTTGCCACTCTCAAAGCCCCTGATGGCCCAACCGGCGCCCCAAGCCTATTTTCGGTTCTACCAACATGTTGACTATTGGGGTGTGTCTTTCTGACGCTTGGGTTGGTTTCAACGGTGAGTTCAGAAAGCAAGCAACCATTTGCGGGGGGTTTCTGATTTTGAGACACACCCCTTTTTTTGTCTTTCTAACAAAACCCATGAAAGCAGGTAGTTTTGCAACATACTAGAATGGGTTGGGTGCGGCAAGTGGTACAACCCAATTGCTCAGCGGGTCTCATTCATGCATTCATACACAGGCATGGACATACAAACATGGACACATACAAGAACATGCATACACGCTGACATGTTATGTGTAGTGATTTACAGAGGTACCAGGGCCCCCATTCCAAGCTTGATTTCCCTACATTTCCCTCATGCTTTCCTGTGGAAGCCGTTGTTTAGGGGCAGTCTCCCCCCCCCACCCCCCCCCCACCGCTGTTTGGCGGCCTGGCGATTGCAAGCTGATGCCTTGAGAGGTCCCTTCTTGGGCTTGGTCGGACCAAGGTCTTGTGCTTTTTTTCTGCTGGTACTCAGCAGGGAATGAGAAATGGATGACCCTGGTAAACCATCCAACTGGTGGTTTCCTTTAAGGGGACCAAAGCCTGGGTTCATTCCCGCATTCCCTGCTGAGCACCAGCAAGTTTTTCCGGTGTCCTCATAAGCGACAATCCCGGTTGGAACCTTTACACGAGCTCGGGGAAAAGGGCTTTGAAGGATGGGGCCGTTGATAGCATGTTGGTAGACACCATCAGCACCGGTGATTCAGGTGCTCTGATCATAGCAGATGTTTCCCATTCAGCAAAACCATATGTTGAAAGCCATATCAACGATTCTGGAACCACCTGGCTTCAGGTTGGTACGATTCGGCTTCGGACGCAGCGTCCCCAGGCGATGGGTTGGTATCCCCAAGACCAAGCCAGTTGTAAGACTGCCACACCCTCCAGTTGCCCAAAGCTGACCTTGTGACCTGGGTCCATATTTGGTCAAGCTGCCAACCTTTGTTTCTGGCCCTTTGGGCAACTGAGTTGTTAAGGGCCGATTCCCCCCCAAATAGGGTTTGGCCGATTCCCCATCCCAACAGGGATGATTGTTGTTGCGACTTTTTGGGGACGGTGCTAAGTGCTAGTAGGCTTCCTTTTGGGGTCAAGCACTCGCCCAACTACGCCTTCAGTTTTGGTGTGTCTTGGTCTATTTCAGTCTTCAAGGGGATGTGTGTGTGTGTGTGTGTGTTTGCTTTCTGGGGGGCCTGTTGGAGTACCCCGGTGGATTCGGCATGTTGTGAGCGCGAGATGAGCTCATTCATCGGGCTTACTTCCCGAGTTGGATGTTGTACTTGGGAAGACCGGGTGAAACAAAACGTGCAGTGCTTTCTTCGGGCTATCCACGGTCAAGGGAGAGAAGCGAGACGGTGATAGACTGGGAAAGAGGGAAGTCGAAGGACTATATCTCTCATCTCTCACGCTGCCTTCGCTCGTAGTAAGTTGTCAATGGGTGAGCACACATGATGAAGAGCGAGCCCATTCCCCACATCTTAATTTCTGACCGTTCCTCCGCTAAGCTCTGTCTCTAGGAGGCAATCCGTTGAGTCACAATGGTAACGGCCACTACTATTTCTGCAGTTATCCGGGGAAGTCATGTTTTGTTCGGGTGACTCGTTCTTGAGTGCTTTTTCGGGTCTTTCCAACTCCTTGTTCTTAAATGCCCTGGGGTTCGCGAAATGCTTCTGCAACATTGGAAAAATAACAAAACAAATGCACAGGGGTCAAGCGGGGATACTCCCCACTTGGCTAACGTTTAGCGCATCTGAGTCGCCGGTGGCTAAATCATCGCCTTTGGGCGGTGGCTAAGGCGCCTCACACCGTTCACTTTGACCTGGAGGCAGCGGTTGCCTCGCTCATCAAAAAGTGTCCGCGACTTGTTCCTCTTTTACAAAAAAACGTTCCCTTTAAAATCAACTATCAACAACAATCAACATTCATCTATTTGCAAAATCAACTGCCACAAAGAAAAACAGAAACAAAAAACCCATGCTCTTTGTTTAATCACTAGTGGAGGTCTGGGAATTACGAGGAGCTCGGGTTCATGCCCTGCAGACTTTTCCAGTTTTTCAAGGAGACGCTAGCGGGTTTGTTGGGGGATTGTCGCGAAGCCCAATTCAACCCCTTGGCCAACTGCCGACCGTACTTCAGCTTGTCTAGGAGCAACGCATGAGGGATATGGATTTGTCAGGCTCGATCGGGAGCCTTCGGCCTCGCCTTTGACCCAACACCGTTTGGCCCAGTTGAGAAAAAACACCGGGCACTCTATGTGCAGAAGCCCTCTTGGAGGGGGGCACTTTCTTTCCTCAAGGGTGTCAAAAGGTGAGCCATATGCCGGCCAACGACTTAGGTGAGATGGGCGATGTTCATCTCAATTCACCAAGCATCAAGTAAACGGAATGACCCCAAAGTTGATTGAGATCATGTCCTCAATTTGCCAAGGAGCAAGACAGATTGAGATTTGGTCTTTGCCTCATGTAAACCCTGGCGCTCCGCTTTGTCTGGGCTCTCGGACGAGTCGCCTCGCGGCGCAAGAGGTCCTGGCCATGATCCAGCTCGGGCTTCGCGACAGGCGTCAGCCCCGCTGTGAGTGGGGACTCGGAGACTGGCTTCGGCAAGAAGAACTGAGCTACGTGGGTGTGTCCTTTTCCTAGGGGCCCCTTCAAATTGTGGTTTTCCTATTATTTTTCCCTTTTAAGCCCGCCAAAAAGAAGGGCCACTCCCAAAAAAGAGGGAGAACCATGTGTCAGTGTCAAAATAGGGCGACCCTCAACATGTTGGTTTTTCTTTGGCCTCCTAAAACCCACAAAGGGGCACCCTCAAATACACAAAGTCCTGACAAAGTGGGGGATCCGAGTTCCGAAACGCCCGGCCGGTTTTTTGTTCTTGGTTTTCCTGCGCTTGTAACGCAGCGCCACAGCGGAGGACAAAAAGCCCAAGACAACAGTTTTACCTTAAGGAATAACGTTTAGATACCCAGACGAAGCCAACACTTCGAGGGCAAAGTGTGCATTTTCCAATGTTCATAACGGACAAGGAATCCTGGGAGGCCACCCATGTTCTCAACTGTACTGAATGGCTGCCTTGTAACCCCTTCGCAAGAGGAATCCCAGGCGGGCACAGGAGTCTCTGCAACTCTCCCAAACCCAAGCCCAAATGGGGGATTGGTTCGCAGGCGATTGCTCCGTTGCCACGAGCCCACGCCTGTGCCGGGCGCCTATGGCCGCAACGAGCGAAGCGGTTGCCTTTGCTTTAGTCATTTGGGTGTGTCATTTTTGAGGGTATCTCTTTTGGTAGGTGTTGAAGGGAACCAAAAGGAACCCTAAAAAAGGGAGACCCATTCGGAATCCTGGAAGGCTTTCATTCTAAGGGCCAACTTGCATACCACAAATGGACATACCCCGAAATTAGTGGAGGTATGCATTGGGTTATGCAGGGTGCATACCCCAAACACCATCGCTGTGCTATGACCTTTTGGGGCATAAAAAGTTGGCCCTTAGATTCATTGGCATTACAGATGTGGTTGCATCTTGACACCTGCCTTATGTCACGTTTGAAGTTCATTCACTAAATTGTTATGAATTTCAATGAGGAATGCTCTGCAGAATAGCGGGTGAACACTTAACTCCACCTAAATGTTTCTGCCTGAGGGTCCGCTTTTGATCTTCATACCCAAGTATGGACCGGCATCAGAGCCCATGTTGGGTTGGGCAAAAGGGTGAGGTACATGCGCTCGCTCCCTTGCACTGGGCCTGACGTTTGAGAGAGCCTCGCACTTTTTTTGGAGTTGGCACCTTTTTTTGGGTTGGTTGGGGAAGCCAACCGGGACAAAGAACTGCATTTTGGGCATATGCCGTGGCTTGCTGGAAGTCCCCTGAGAAGCCTTCGACCACTCCCAAACCACCGGGGGAAGGGTTCCTCAAAGGATACTGTTGGGAAGTTGGGACTGTCAACAGAAATCATTTTGTTGAGCTGATTGACAGGATGTCCTCGTAAAGCAGATGTTTTTGCATATCCTCCAAGGACCCTGGTGTTATGAGGCTGACCCACTTGTCTCCTAGGGGCGGTTGTAGAGGCCATTTTTGAACCAATTAGATGGTTGAGACCTGCCACCAAGGAACGTCGCGAAAAAGCCGAGGGGCATCTAACATGACAGGGCTCTTGAACAAGACGCGACTTGGGCATCTAAGGCCAGTACGTTTGCCAGCATGGAGAGTGGTCAGCTCAATATGAGAGCTACTGCACCGCCAAAAGAAAACTTGAGGGGGTGTGTTGTTTCACCTTCTTCAGGCATACTGGCGTGTGTTTGTTTTCGGACAGTTGCGTTGTTTCCTTTTGGTTCTCCTTTAAATCCGCCAACAGAAGGGTAGCAACTCCAAAAAATGAGACTCCCCCCCCATATGGTTACGAGTTGGCGACAAGACATGCAGTACTACACCACGTACCCACTCCACCACCCACCCCCTTATCACCTTAAGCAAAAGCAAATGGGAGAAGAAAGAGATCGATTTGGCTCTTTGCCCAGGTACCAGTGCCTCTTTTACCACGACCTTCGCTTAACAGCGCCGGCAGGCTCCTCGGAGACACATTTCGGCCGGCGCTTCTCGGCCTGGCTTGTCGGCGTTGCCGACTGGTGGAGCTAGTTGTGACTCAAAGGCTATACATGACTATACATAAATGTATGCTATGCATTACTTACATGTGTATATATATATATATACATATTTATATATACATATCTATGTGTATACACATACGCCTATATATGGACCCGTGTGTGGGCCCTCAGGCGGCTCGGTTCAATGCAATTTGCCAATCAAGGCATTCGCCAGGGGTCTCTTTCCGGCATTAAGCACTCATTGGTCCCATAGCCAAGAGCCATATCATTGGCAGTGGCTGAGCCATCCACGGGTCTCTTTCCAGGCTGATGTTGGGACATACTGTGGATGGACAAACTCCTGCACCAGTTTGTAACTGGTTTAGCCCATTATTTGTAGGGTTTCATCGACCCACAGTATCACATATCCATTTCTCCCAGCGTGACGTATCCATTGGAGAAACACCCATAGGTGTCCTTTTTGGGTTAGTTTGCACAGAAATAGATGGCACTTGTTGGTTTTGTTCCAGCTACCAGGGCCATCTATTTTTCCAAAAGGCCACCTATGCAAGCACCCATCCTGGACCCGGAAGTGTTCGCCGCCGTGCTTCGGGCGCCTCGCGGGCGCCGGAAGCGGTCCCGCGGGTTCAGCTATGGCCTGGAAGAGCCTCCCCTCACTGGCCCAAAGCGACCGTGGAGTTTCCTTTTGTTGGGTCTATGTTGCGTTGCCCCCCAAGGGACTGGGTGTTTCTTGGGCCTTTGCGCACCAGGTCCACCATTGAAGAGGTCAGTTTAGCGCCCAAACAAGGTCCAAGACCACCCCCCCCCCAAAGGTGAGCACCTTGAATTTCTGGGTCCCTAGAGAGTACGCACGACACACCAAAAGGAGTAAACACGAGCTGCACCCTAGGAGGGTTGCAGTCATGTTGGTGAGACAGAAGGCCGTTTTCCGGAATGCATGGCATGGCTTCTCTGCAAATCGACAGATCTGCCAAAAGGGTCGGTAAGGGACAAATAGGCATGAGCAGCAGTCAATATCCATTCTCATGAGGGAATGCCCAAGTTACATCACAACATGTTCATCTTAGCAAATCAATGGTCTTTGTGTTTGTTCCTTCACGGGTACAGTAGTTTAAGCATCACATCAGCCCGTAACAGTCCCGAATTCCGATTGGCTTGAGCTTGCGTTTTGGTGCTGTCGCTGCAATGGGCGTCTCTGTTTGGAGTGTACCCCTTTTTGGTTGATTAAAAAAAGGCAAACCAAAAGAAAAGCCATTCTCTTCTTCTTCTTCTTTTTTTTTTTTGGGGGGGGGGGGTCCCCTAAAATAAGACACTCACATTGCTGTCAAAATTTTGGATGATTGGGTTGCCCCCAATCCGAATCAAGGCTTGCACGTCCCCATGGCTTTGGCTCTAGGATTTGTGCTTGAGGCGGCCACATCACGCGGCGTGTTTCCGGCACTTTCTGTTTGTCTTCAGCTTTCAGCCATGCGCGAGGCGATCTGCATTCACATCGGCCAGGAGCTTTGGCAGAGAGTTGAGTAAGCCTTAGAAGGATGTCGGTTGTTTCGTCAACTTTCAACAGAAGATGGATGCTGAATAGCACGTATCCGTTGATTTCCCCCAAAGGACACCATGGGATGCATATCGTTGGGTTGCAATCCTTTTATTCGACCTTTAACCTTTCATTTTGAAGCCTGATCGTGCGCCACAAAGCTGCGAACGCTTCGACTTGACCGTGGTTGTCAAAACCAATGGGATCCCATTTTGGGGTAGGTGCACCACCCATTTTAGTCTATTTTAGTGGGGATTGGGATGTTTAGTGGGGGTACAGGATTTTGACCCATGACCACGTTGGGGTTGAACTTCTCTATCCCAGGGCGGCGTGCAAATTGGCAACGCCTGCTGGGAGCTTTTCTGCTTGGAGCATGGCATCCAGCCTGATGGTCAGATGCCCTCCGACAAGACGATTGGCGGGGGGGATGACGCACCAAGCCTGATATTGGTAATTTTTGTGTTTGTGTTCACTGATGCATGAGCAGCGAAGCTGGTTGCGGGACAATTTGGTCAAGAATCCACTTCCAGGTTGAGAAGATCTCACTGTGAGACCCTATTGTAACCTTTCTAGCCATGTCTTGAACCGCGGCCAAAATGCACTGTCACCAAACCTAGAGTGAGTGACATGGGGCGCACCAAGTTGCCGTTTGGAAAGTTCCCCTTGATTACCAAGTTTGCATGTCACTAGACAACACAAGAAAATTGACTGGGCTCTGTGGTGTTCACTGACGCACGTCCATCATGCGTAGAACACTTTGGCTCTGCGCCTTGGCCCAGCTTGCTTCCTCCAGCTCGCAGAATTCAGCACTTGGGGTGGTCCCAGCCACCATCAGCAGGGTGGATCATGAGGGCGTCGCCAGACACTTCAACTTGGGTTGGGATGGCTTTCACGTCGTCGAGTGGCTCAAAGACGTGCATCGTGCAAAAGCGCTCGCCACGTGTGGCAGGACCCAACGTTCGCTGCAGCGTCGCCAGAGCTCGCAGAGACTTGCCCAAGGGCTGACTCTGCCGGGGCCCCCGCTGGAATTTGCCTATGCGCCGGGAATCGACATTGTGTTGACCATGCTGGGACGGACGCAGAATTACGCGTCGCAAGCTGCGCCGTTGGGATGAGCTTTTGGTATTGCCATCCGAAGCCTAGTTTCTCTGAGGACGACGCCAGGAATCTGTGCACTTGCGGCGGATTTCGGCGTTCCCGGCCTCATTACATGTGGCAATGTCCGGACACAGCTGGATTCTGGCGGCACCTTGCGCAGCCCACAGAGCAGAGGAGCGCATGTACGCAACAAATTGTGACTCCGCCTCGCTCCACCCCCGTGTGCTGGCTTGAACGACACGCTGCGTGGATTAGAGGATACATTGCGCGTGGCTTGCAGACTTTAGCGGGGCCGCTTGTCTTAGCTACAGATGGCTCTGCAAGCCAAGGTGTTGGTGCATGGGCTGTCCCCTTTTGGCCGTGACATGGCTTGCGCTGAACAGTTGCAACTTTCGAGCTGGAGCTGTGGAGGCACGCTTGCGTACTGCGCTTGTACTGAATAGTTGCAACTTTTGAGCTGGAGCCGCGGAAATGCACTTTGTCGTTCTGTGCTACATGGTGCTACTAGTGCTGGTGCTCCTGCTGAAAAAGTGCGACTTTGAAGCTTCTCTACCTACTTGTGCCTAGGCAACAAGGACCCCGGCACAAGTACCCCGCTACAGACCTCTGTAGCAAGAATTGTGCTGCGTTGCGCGTTGCGTGCCCTCAAACAAATCATAGCCATGTTGAAGACCTGGCAGCCGTGGAACAGCTAAAGCCATTGTGGGCAAAGAAGCAACTAGAGTCGTAAGGGTCTACGCGTACTGGTTATGGACGCGCTTGGAGAATAGGGGGCGGCTTGCCAAAACTTGCTTTCAGGCATTCAACACCTTCTTCAGTGAGACAGGGGCGGGCAAGCACGTGCCACGTTGCGTGATGGTCGACCTTGAGCCGACGGTCGTCGATGAAGTGCGCACGGGCACCTACCGTCAGCTCTTCCACCCCGAGCAGCTCATTTCTGGCAAGGAAGACGCTGCTAACAATTTCGTCCCAACGCCAAATTCAGCTAGCATTTGTGTTTCCGATTTGTTGGTTTCATGTCATGGGCCCACCAAAAGCGCATCAATCACTTGTTCCGCAAAAGTGTTGGATCACTTGACTTGAGGCGCGCGGGCACTACACCATCGGCAAGGAGATTGTCGATTTGGTCTTAGACCGAGCCTCTTTGGAGTTGGGAGAGCTCGATATTTGATCTTGGCAGTCGTCAGGCCTGTCAATGCTTTAGCCAACATCACTTTCCTTTTCGGAGATCGGTCCTCTCGATTCAAAATTGTTTCCACCGGAATCCTAAAAAACATCATGAAGTTTGCATTGCACATGTTTAATTTGCAGAGCTCAGGAATCCGCAAGTTGGCCGACAACTGCACCGGATTGCAGGGTTTCTGCGTGTACAATGCCGTCGGCGGCGGCACAGGATCTGGCCTGGGCTGCTTGATGTTGGAGCGCTTGTCCGTGGACTACGGCAAAAAGAGCAAAATCTCCTTCACAGTTTGGTCGTGTCCGCAGGTGGCGACTGCAGTGGTAGAACCCTACAACACTGTGTTGTGCGTCCATTCTCTGCTCGAGCACACGGATGTGACAATCATGTATGTGCCTGGGCAGACATCTTTGAAGGTTGCCATATATGACCTATAGGTCAAATGAAACTGAATTCGACAAATCGCCATGGTTCTCCGATTGATGTTCAGAATGGTTTGTTCAGAATCGTTTATGTGGCGCAGACCCGTGCCATCATGATCTAAACGATACAATGTTCAAACATGCGCAAGCAGTGGACTTGATCTGCTTATTGTGTGAGAGGTGTGTTTCATTGAGGACATTTCGCTTCTGGAAGTTGCATTGTCACATTGACATGTTGTTTGTAGACGTTTGGAGCAAGGACAACGAGGCGTTGTACGACATTTGCCGCAGGAACTTGGACATTGAGCGCCCGACCTACACGAATCTGAACCGGCTCATTGCTCAGATCATCAGCTCATTGACGGCGAGCTTGAGGTTTGACGGAGCTTTGAATGTGGACATCACGGAGTTCCAAACAAACCTTGCTCCTGGGTCAACGTTACTATATTCTACATAATATCTACATACATATATATATATATACATACATGCATACATATATGGTTAACCTTCTCCATGGGTCCCAAGGAATACCGTGACCCTCCCGGCTCTTGGTCATCTGTTATTGCCAATGAAACCCAGCGATCCTTTCTGAAGGGAGCAAAGAGAAGGGTATTTTAGCATCGGCTAAACTTTACTTGGCACGTTTTATCAGCGCATCAAAAGGAATGGAGAAGTAACAGGATCTTTCAGTCGCCAACATATTTCGCCACCCTGCTCATGAACTTGAAGCATTTAGACCAGCTGGTCATGCACTGCATTGATGACTGTAGGAACTAATTTTTTACACTTCCAGGGTTATTTTCAATTGAACTCGGAGCAAGGTTCCTTACCCACGAATTCACTTCATGCTCACCTCCTTCGCGCCCGTGATCTCCGCAGAGAAGGCATACCATGAGCAGCTCTCCGTGGCTGAGATCACCATGTCTGTGTTCGAGCCTGCCTCCATGATGGTAGCTCAGCTGTTCATGTTCAGTTATTCTATTTAGTTTTGCATTCTGGGCCCATTTGTAGTCATGATCAGAGAAGGTTAACCTTGTATTGAACTTTTGTTCAGACATTTGGGCCAGAAAAGGTCAAGTGCGACCCTCGCCATGGCAAGTACATGGCTTGCTGCATGATGTGTCTCGGCCGATTATGAAGCGAGTCTGTTTGAGCGCTCGTATTGCCACGCCATGTCGGTGGTTGCAATATTGTTTGACGTGATTGTATGTTGTGAACATTGGAGCTTCATACATTTGTAGCAGTAGCTGTGCATGCGCATGACGTGTGTGTGTGCGCGCTCGCACCGACGGCGTACGTGTTGACAGTTTAGCATGGTTGGGGCTCCCTGGTTTTGTGCTTGATCACGCCCTGACCGTGCACCAGGTACCGCGGAGATGTTGTACCAAAGGACGTGAACGCGGCAGTTGCCACCATCAAGACCAAGCGCACCATCCAGTTCGTGGATTGGTGCCCCACTGGCTTCAAGTGCGGCATCAACTACCAACCTCCAACGGTGGTGCCTGGTGGTGATTTGGCCAAGGTCATGCGTGCCTGCTGTATGATTTCCAACAGCACGGCCATTGCCGAAGTCTTCTCTCGCATTGACCACAAGTTCGATCTGATGTACAGCAAGATTCTTGTCGCACAACATGAGTCATCATAGAGTCAGCATGTTTGAGTGTAAGAGCGCGGATGGCAGAGATGAGTTGAGTGTATTGATTTGCTTTCTGTCGAGGAGTAACTTACAACAGAGATGAGATATCTGTAGATTGTTTGCACACTTCTGATCCTTGTGGTTGATCAGCTTCGATATGTTTCTCATCAAGTGATAAGTTATCCATCCTGTTAATCCGATTAAAACATGAGCAAGTAATTAACTTACTTGCTGAGTTCGTGGACTTGAATTGTTTAAACTTTTGGGAAGAGCATGTTGGTGAAAATGAAGCAACTCAGGCTTTTCGCTGGCCTAGCCACTTAAGGAGTGAGTTCATCAGGGAGCCTTCACTCAGCTGTTCAAATCATTGGCCTTGGACGGTCTTTGAAGCTGTGCTTATCATACAGTGGACCCGTGAGATTCAAGTTGCCACTTGAAGCCGAACAGCACATAGTTGCCGCAATGCTAGCTGACTGGGCGTGTTTGCTGAACGCATGCAAAGAGTTTTGGGATCTCACTAGCGTGTTTGCATGTTGGGATTGGGTCGGCTTCAATACTTTGGGTGCTTGTTCTCTTCTGCCGACTGAATCCGCATCGAAGGCGTGCTTTTGTCCACCACTACGTGGGGGAGGGCATGGAAGAGGGCGAGTTCTCCGAGGCTCGAGAAGACTTGGCCGCCCTGGAGAAGGAATCCTGGTCCGGTGGCATCGATTTTGTCTTTTTTCGGGTTTGTTCCTGGCCTGTTTCCCTTTGACGCTTTGGCTACGCGGGGCCTACGCCGTAATTTCGAAAATGGATTTCTCAGAAGAAAAGTAAGGACTACGAGGAGGTCGGCATCGAGACGGCCGAAGGGGAGGGCGAAGAGGAAGGCGCGAGCTTCTGGCTTGGGCGGTTCGGGCGGCTTGTGCGGGTTGGGTGTTTGTTTGCTTGTTTGTCTGTGTTTTTGGCAGGGAATTTGTACGACTGATGTGTGTGTGTGTGTGCGCGTGCTTGCGTTTTTGGTCGATTTTATTTTAAGTTGTCTCATGCTTGTTTTGTTCATGGACCGCACAGAAGGGGCTTGCGCCATCATTCATTTTGAAGGTGTCTTTTCGAAAGCATAATAGTTCCTTTACAAACAAACATGAGCAACAAAGTGGCGGCCCGCCCAACACGTCAGGCTATGGCGATGAGTTCTAGACCAGCGCGCCTTTGGCTGTTGAGTCCTGCTTCGCTCGCCCACAGTGGCGAGGGAAGGGCGGGATGAGTGTCCTCTGTGGCTGGTCTGCTGCTAGTGCTGTTGTCAAAAGGGTTATGTGCCAAAATCCGGGATTTCCGTTTATACCAAGGCGCAAAGGCTACCCCAAAAAGACGCACCCGGATGCTTGCGAAGCGACAAGACGACGAGCTCGCTCGTTCGCGACCAGCCGACAGTGACACGGTGGCCTTGCCATCCGGGAATCGATAGCACTCGATTCCCCCAAAATCGCACTGCGGGGGGGAAAACGTGCGGCGGGCTTCGTCCGGCGTTTCGCGGCGGTTCAAGTGTGCAGTAAGGCTGTGGTGAAGAACCTCCCAAGGACCCGACCCTCATTGCTTGGTGGTTCCCAGCCATCCCCTTAGCTTTTTAGGTTTTTAGTTGGTCAGCAAACAGTATTCACTTTTAGCCCGGAATCAGTCTGGGCAGCCCAGATTGAAATATGTTTCTTCACTGCTCTTGGCAATCTGTGTTTTTTGTTTCCTTCTTTTTTCTTCTTCTTTTCTTTCTGTTCATTTTTAGTGGGGGGCTGCAACAAATAAACAGCTTCTTGCTACCATGCCAAGGGTTGTGAAGGAGTTATGCCACCTGTTTTGCTTTTGCGAAGACTGGCCCCGGAATCTGAGGTGGCACTGGACGCCGCGAAGCTGGTGGAGCTCATTTGCCAGGCGCCGTTTTGGTCGAGCATGGGCGGGGGAAACCATTTCGGTCTTGGCTTCCAGGTGTTCCAAGTTGGCCGAGCTGATCACCCACTTAGAAGTTTTTATTTGACCATGAGTTTATCCCATTAGTTCAAGCATCCCTTGGTCACCCACTTAGAAGTTGATTTGACTATTGGTGGTATCCCATTTCCAGAATCCCTTCATTGGTTTGGGGCCCCGTGGTTTGGATCTGGGGGCCTGCAGCCCTGGTTCAATTGATACAATGGGGTAGTCTCGCGGCACCGAGCCACCGATTCGGCGCTCCAAACCAGCCTTTCGAGGGAACTGGACAAATCGAAGCCTGGGAAGCCAAGTGCGGGTACTCGCCCTTTTGAATACCCGCAGTAAGTCAACATAAGTCAACGAATCTCACTTGTCCAAAGCCGCTCTTTTGACCTTTTGGGTTACCCATTTTGGTCCATATGTAGTCAAGGCTCCAACAGCTTTAACCGTCAACCTTTTTCTCTCCAGGTCCTCTGGAGAAGTGAGCAATGAATTGACCCCCTGAGTTAAGCAGTTTCTTTTGATTTGTCACGTGGTTTATTGACCCCCGTGCCATTGATGTTGCTGGGTTTACTTTTGACCCTCACTTGAAAGCGGGGGCAGATGGAGGATGACGGTTCGTCTCTTGGGGAGCCCTTCGTTTGGATGTGTTCCTCTTCCCCTCATTTCATCTCTGGGGTTCGAATCTAAAGTCTCCAAATCCCGCGTCCAGACAAACCAATGTAGGGTAAGGTGACTTTTCAATGTCCAGTAGAAGATAGTAAATGCCCTCTTAGAGATCCCCCCGCTATGGACACTCACAGTCTATTTTGCAAACTCACCCTAAAACAGCAATACGCTAAATGAAGGAGGTTTACAAAATAGGCCCTAAGTGTCCACTCCCCCCCCCCCCTCAAAAAAAAAAGGACGCAAAAGTCTGTTGACCAAGCAGGCGTCCCCATATTGAACACCGTTCAGATCACAAATCTCACCTTTTGGGGCTAAAGTGAGCTTCTGTTGGGCGAAATGATCTTTCACAGGCTTGAACTATGGGGCCCCCGATAAAAGCGATGTTTCTGTCCTACACAGGACTTGAGTGGGACGCATGTGGTACGCTCATACGGATAAGCCCAAGGTGTGTGGAGAGGAGATTCTGCTGGAGGCCTTCGAGCTCACGCCCGAGGACCTGAGCTCGTGGCGCTTTCTGCGGGTTCCGGTTCCGGGAAACATGTCCAGCAGGACCAGGTTGCAAGGAGTTGACATGCGCTCGCTATTTTTTTCCTGCGAAACGAGGGCGACCCTCAAGTTTTCGTGTGTCTGTTTTTGTGGGAACGGCTTTTATCGACTGTGGTAGGTCGAAACCGGCGATCATCCTAGCTGGCGAGACGTTGCTGCTTTGTGTCCAGCCAGGCCCAAAGTGGTTGACCGGCCTTGGTTCCCTTTCAAATTGCACCCCCATACTTCTCAAGAGGTTGATGCCTAGCTTTGACTTATCTCGCTGGGCAGTGTCTAGAACTGCACAGCTTGAACTAAAAGAATCAAAAAGCTTGAGGTCACAGACCAGCGGCCAGTGAGCACAGACTGGGACCAACTGGCTAATGTGGAGTAATCAACCCTTGGGGAGTGTTCCGCTTTTAATGAGAATCCTCAACTTGTTTGGGTGACACCCTTATTAATAGGACGGGTTTATGAATCTGGGGTCAATATCAGTGTAATTAGAACGCCACAGGGGCTATCCTGGCTGCTTCAGGGAGTTGATTGTATGTCCAAGCAAAAAAGAGCTCAAGTTGTGGCTCAGTCTGCCAACCCTTTCGTGGAGCATCCACTTGAAGAGAGCCACCAACCGCACCCTCCTGAAAGTTGGTTGCATGCTGCGGACTCTCCAGGAGTCAGGTGCGCCAGAAACAGAATGTCACTGGAGGACGGGTCGGGCGGTGGGATGGAACCATGATGAACCATGAGCGGTCCGGTCAACATATCAGTTGTCTCCAGTGCGTTAGTCCGTAATTATGTGAGGGACACGGGGAAGGCACTCACTGAATTTCCCTTCCGCAAAAATCAGGGGGCTCACTAATTGTCCCATGTCCTTTACGGGAGCCGCATATGCTGCGGACTCCCCTAATACTGGATGTTTCCTCAATCATGATAGAGATTCCTATTTAAATCCGTGACCATGGCCCACATTTTAAAGGGGAGCTTTGCCCATGGCTCATGGTCGGTGCTTTGAAGACAACTAATAGATCTTTCAGGTACCCTCCTACAAGTGCTATGCAAGCGGGAAAGGTAACTGCCATGTCCCAGTCTTTTGTTCCCCAAGCGCTTGGTCCTGGTAGGGACTGCCAACCATTGACATTCCAAAAAAACACGACCAACAGCAAGCAACCGTCATCAACGAAACACAGCCCAAAAACAAGCAACCACTAAGAAAACAATCATCTTCAAGCCAGAGTCACATATGCATATGTACATAGGTACCATATTATACGAGAAGTAAACAGACAGCGAGACAATGGACTAATCACGTACATGTACCCTTGGTACGTGCTCAAACAGCACCCAACCAAACACAGTGCAAAGGCTCTTCAGCGCAAAGGGCGACACTCATAGCGCGAAGGCTTCGGCACGGAAGCCGTTATGTGTAGCGCAAGGGCCCTTCGGCGCGAATCTTCGGCGCGGAGGCCGGTATGTGTAGCGCAAGGGCTCTTCGGTGCGAAGGCCGGCGCGCCCCCCAAAAAAGAAAAGAACGCAACTTCTGACTTCCCTTGCATAAGCAGCAGGCGCGGGTTTGCGGGGGTGACATGTATATAATATATATGATTATATATGTACAAATACAAACTATACACACTATACACAACCCTCTTATTTTAAAGACAGGGGGTGCGACTAATCTGTATATACGTATTTACATATACGTACAGACCACACAAACGGGCGAGCACATGCCTAGGCTCTTCTTCGCTTCCGTAGCCTCAGCTCTGGACGATGAAATCGCCTACGGCGCCTACCAGGCGAAGACTTTTTTTCGGTTCGCTGGGGCTGGTGGGACGGGCGGGGGGGGGGGGGGGAAGGCTTTGAATGGGTTTCTGGGTTTGGCAGGCTTCTGGGCAATCAAAAAGGTACATACCTACAAACCCAGAGATTTGGGTCGGTTTCTGAATTGTTGAGTTTCTGCGTTGGGCATGTGTAGGTGTGTATTTTTTGGAGGACACCTTCGTGGGTAGATGAAGGTAGTCTTCTTGGTTTAAAGGGGAAACAGAAAGGAAAACCGATGCCATTTTGGCGGTCCGATTCCTGAGACACGCCCTTCAAATTTGTGTGGTGTTCCTTGTGTTTTCCTTAACCGACCGCAACAAAAAGGCAAAGCCATTTTTTCAGGCTCGCAGGCAGCGTTTGTTTCAGCGACTTTTTGAGGAAGAAGATCCAGTCACCCCCTTTTCTGCTGTTTCTTCACCGTTTGGTTGATGTGGCTGTGGATCAAAACCAATGGGATGGGGTAGGTGCACCACCCATTTTTGTCTATTTTAGTGGTTGGATTGGGATCCCCTGCTGAATGGCAAATTCGGCCCCCAGCGTTTTTTGGAGACGAGGAAGAATCAAATTAGAGGCTTACCGGGTGGTAACACAAGAAGCCGCCTGAAGGGGGACATGACATTTTGGGGCCTTGTTCTAAGGCAATTCACCGGCACAAGCAAACACCTCGAGAGGTCCGACAAAAAGGACTGAGGGGACTGATGCCGCAACGGCAAGGCAGCAGCTCTGCAAAAATAGGGGAGAACAATCTCCACGGGTAATTAAGATGGAATGGAGAGAGAGAAGGAAGCAGAAAGAAGGCCTGAAGAGCATCCACGGCAAAGAGGCTCTAAGACAGCAAACTGCAAACGGCTCCTATCTGCAAGCAGAGACGATTGCCGAGCAAAGTCAAGAAGTCAAGGACCAAGCAATGCACGAAGTTAAGATGCTCCAAGTAAGACAAGTGAAATGCGAAGAAGCCTGAAGGGAAGCAGGAGCAGGCGAAAAGGTAGCAAGACAAAGCAATTTCACGAAGGAAAGCGCGAAAAGCCGAGGCAGACGGCTGTGGGAGGCACGAGAGTAGAAGCATGCAGGAAGTGAACGACAAACGCTATATCCCTCTCTCCACCCCCCAACAGACAACGCGGGAGAAGCGGCAACAGTTCCACGGCGGCGAGACAGCCGCCCCTGTCCCACGAAAACCACGACCCACTTTGCCCGTGTCTGTTGTGGGCTCCGCATACTTTCGACTGTGGCTTTGCACTTGAGGCGGTGCGGCGAGCAGTGGCGGAATGCGGGGAGACGCTGTGCTGAGCAGAAAATGAGCGGACCACAGCGCGAAGGGCAGATGTAAAGACAGGGTCATTGGACACCTGCCCAATATTTTCCTTCAGAATCCTTCCTGAGTTGGCAAAGTGACTGAACATGTTCGCAGTTTCGTCATCATGTTAAGGCCCAACAAGCTTAGACTCTTGCCAGCCAGTGAGGTCAGGAATAAGTGTGACTTAGACTCCTAGGTTGCTCACGAGCCAGATCCACCAGATGATCAAAACCGAGAGGTACGGTGGATTCCCCAACTATTGCAGGCAGGGAACAAGGGAAGCCCCAAATCTGCCGTCATTTTCCATGGTTTTGTGGTTGGGCGTGGTTGAACTACTTGTAATAGTGAGTTGGCATCCACCGGTGGATGCCCTAAATATTGCAAGTAGGGAACAAAGGACACCCTGTTAATTCAACGGCGGTTTGTGGTTGGTTTACTTGCAATGTTGAGTTTTTCGCCAGGGTGTTTGGAGCAGCCCCATGATGTCAGGATCCATGTCCTGTTTGTAGTCGCGTTTCGTTTCGGGTCAGTGGTTACCCAGCGAACCCTGCTTGACTATGCGTTTGACATCGCCTTTCTGCAACAGCCACTTGCGTGGCTGGCTACTGCAGGAAGTCTGCAAAGAAGGGAGCTGGCAAGCAACATACTTGGACCTGAGCCTGTATCGCGCTGTTGAATGGTGAAAGCGTCGCTTATTTGCCATCTAAAAATAAACGGTGATCACTTACAAAAAGTGGTTGCCAAGATGGGAAAGCCAAAAGGTCAAAAGATCGCTGCTATGATCATGACTTTCGCATTTAGGGTACCCCACAACTCCATTGAAATTGTTTAGGGGTTAGGCCGTTCTATTGTAGAACATAAACAGCCCTGAGTCTGGTTTGTATGATACGGGTATGAAGTCTAATATGGAGGCTCCTCAAAGTGCTGGGCATGCATCCCGCCGAAATCGTATGTCGGGCCCCAAACTACAAAATCATGGCCGATATTGGGTATGTCTCAAGATAGGAATCCCCGCAAAACGGCTTCGGGTTTTCCTTTCAGCTTCCCTGTCAAGGGTACGGCACACCCCAAAAAAGTATCAAGATGACTCTAGGGTTAAGCCCTGGAAGGCAATCCCCGAAACAAAAAACGGTACAAAGTTGAACATCAAGTCCCATACAAAAGCTCCTTACCTTGATTGGAATGGAGAACTGACCATTGCGGACGTGCTGGGAGATGCTTGACTCATGCGAGATGCATTCCTGACGCCGGCTCCAGGTACAGACATGTTGACACCTTGTCGATCATCAACGTGCCGGAGATGGAGAACTTCATCGGGTACTGGCCCCTTTGGCACCAAAAGAGAAAGAATTCCAGGAAGGTTTTGCACTTGGGGATCCACTTTTGTTTTGATATTTTTGGGATGGTAACATGTCCAGTTTGGGGAAAAGGAAGTAGCAGCTAAGTAGCAGGACAACCCATGAAGGGAATTATCTTTGGGACACCCGCGGCCGCCTTTGTAGTTCTTTACATTGGTTTGGGTTGGCTATTTTAATACCAGGTTTTGATTGTGACTCAACTGGGTTTTTGAAAATCCTCGGAGGCCTGCCCAGAGTCGTCCCCCATGACTTTGCACATGGCCGTTTTTTGGCATAAATCTCAATGCCCGAAGCCGACCTTTTGGCTAACCTGTTGGTTTCTCTGAGCTGGTTCATGTAGTCAAGGTGCCACATGGTTGACGACCTTGTATTTCTGAGTCCTTTGAGGGGGAAATCCTTACGTAGATTCGTAGATAATGTGCACCATGTCCCCAAGATTCAATCCTAATAGGCCGCACCCTATGTTGACCCTCATGATTTGTCGCCCCTTACACATAAACGTCTCTCTCTCTCTCTGTGTGTGTGTCCCGAAATTCCCTGAAAATAGAAAAGTCCTCACCAAATTGAGATCTGGGCAGCAATTGGTTTGGCTTCCTGGGCTTCTTTGAGGAAGATCGAGTTTCTCCCCAGATGTTTTAAGAACCACAACAGTGTAAACCTCTGGGCCAAGCCTGGACTCGGGGCTCGGCCTTGGAAGGGTCATAGTATACATATATAATATGGATAGATAGACGTATAGATAGATCAATGTGCATATATATATATATATATACACATAATTTCTCGTTCCTTTCGAAACATCACCTCTTTGGGTCCTGTCCCTGGCAGGTTTGGGCGGGCGGACAGCCCTGAACATTATTTGATTCCTGGATTTCCTGATTGGGTGTGTATCAAAATTGGCAGGAGTCCCCCCCCAAAAAAAGCAAACTAGAAGAAGCGTGTTGTACTTCTGCCGGTTTCCCTTCATACAAACCTCAAGTAGCTTTCCCTCAGGAATGGCGTTTTGCTGGAGAATGCGATGCAGCGCACCGGCTTTATGTACGGCTACTACTTGGAGGACGTTTTCAAACGTCGGTCCGAAGTCAATGGGAGAACTCACTTGCCTGGTTAGAGCGAATCGACCTGATCTGACCAAAATCGGTTTACCAATTTCCGGTTTCCACTTGTAGTAAAGGTCCCAAAAGGTCATTGCGTCCTTGGGGCATGTCACTCCCCTTTTCATGGGAATCTGGATCACTTTTGTGGGGCCCGACACCCGCACGAATATGACGGGTTAACGAATCGGGGGTCGACATTATCCCTGACCTCTGTTCTGGAAACTCCAGATAGTTTGCCGAAGTTTTTCTTCTGATTCAATTTCCTGATTGTTGCGACGTAGCTGTCTTCTAGTCGTTTCCCGTTTGTTTCCTGATTGGAATAGAGCTTCAAGCACCAAAGCCCAAAGATGGCCCACTCAATCGCTTTCTCCCAGCTGAGACCCCCAAACTTGTCAGCATACACCGCCTTGAATTCGCGCATATCTTTCTTGCTGGCTCTCAGCAGACAATGAGGGAATGACCCACTTAAACCATCCCCCATGAGGGTTTCCTGCAAGGGAATCCCTAGGTTCATTCAAAGTTGTTCTCCAAATACCTTCAATGGACGTAGACACGAGTCAGGCCTTGTGAAGACACTGGCACCATAGATCACGCAAGACAATGTTTCACCAGGCAACCAGGCGCCATCCCCAGCTTAGGTTGAAGAGGGCAGAATTCAGCACACGGCAAATGTGCATGAAGTCTGTTCAAGGCGCAGGTGTTGGCTGAGGGATATCCATTCCGCTCTTGAAGACCCCACTTTAGGGATCCCGCGAATATATGTTGTTCGTTTTTTTTCTTCCCCGGAGGTCTGGGCTCCATGGTTTGACAGGGCACCCTTCACTTTGTTCAGATGGTTCAGATTGCATTGCTGCAGACGGTTGGATGGCAGGACAAAAACTACGACGAGGGTACTCGTGCAATTATGGAGGCACACTGGGCCAACAGGAAGGAAGGGACGGAGGAGCATGGGGAGGGAAGTGAGGCCGGAAATTTGCGGATATGGGCTTGGCCACTTGCAATCGAATTTGTTTTTTTTGCTTCGTTGCTCACGTTGAGTGAAGTTATGAGTTGGCCGAATGTGATTCTTTGTTCCCAGTGTCAATCTTGCATGATTCAGGGCCGCCAGAGCCCCCTTGTCAATTGGGGGGTGTATCCAGGCGGACATCACTCGGAACTCTGGAAGTGTTTTATGCCCCAACTGTGGATTCCGCCAAATGTTGCACTCTTTTAGCCCTCTTTTAGCTCTCGTTTAGCATCGGGGGGCTCCGCAGGCGGGGCATCAAGAACACGCCAGCGAAACTAGCCTTCACGTTCGTTTTGGGACCCGAAGGCTTCGCAGTTGGTTGTCCACGGTTTACAGGAAGGCCCCCCCCCCGGAAACTCGCTCTCTTTTTTTCTCGGGTTTGGCCTTCGAGCATTTGACTTTTGGAGGACTCACATGTTGTGACCCAGCAGCCGCCAAGTAGATACCAAAAAGGACACCTAATTTGACAAATCCCCGTATATGTGTGCGCGTGTGTGTTCGTGGACTTACATAACGGGAAACTAGGAGGACAACGCACCATTTTCACAGGTCCCTTAAGAAAGACATACCTATATAAATGGAGGAGCCCAGGACAAACGGTGAACTGCCAGAAAACTGATCTGCAGGGGATCTACGAGCCGGCCCAAGAGCCACTTGGCAGCACACAAGGCAAAAACACGCCTTTTCGTGGGGCAAACTCCAGGACCCCAAGACCTCGCATTATGAACAGCTGAAGTGGTTGCTCAATGGTCAGTGCCCTTTCCGTGGCGATTGTTTGTTGGCACTTGGCAGGCTTTTTTTGAAGACCACCTTCCCAAAAGCCGCTGACCACCTACGAGCTTTCACTGAAGCCTCCAACCTGCCGACAGCTCAGCCGAGGATGGTGGGTGAGATCGCCGAGCCCCTGAAAGACGACCAAGAACTAGCGCGAGTCAATAGGACCGACTGAGCGTCTTTTGTTGGGGTTTCCTTTCAATATCATTCCCGAAAAAAGGCGATCTGTTTTCCGCCAGGGCCCTTTAGAGTTCTGCTTTCCCCCAAATCCGAGGTGTGGCAGAAAATGTGGAAGTGCCCATTTCATTCTTTGGATCCAGCGATTGCTTCAAGGCCACTAGTTCCTCTTGAAACGATGAAGTTTGAGCCCCAAACACTTGAGACTCCCAATTGGGGGGAGCATTTTATATGGGGAACACGGGGTTCTCCATAGAAGGGCCCTTAGGGTACTTACATGTACGTGCAAGGAGGTAATCATCAGTTGGCTGCTCTTTAATGTGACCTTTGCCGTGCGACCTGTTTGCAAGAAATGTTTTCTCAATTGCTAGCAAACAGTCAAAGCTACTACAAAGGCTCAAAGACCAGAGGCGAGTCACAGGGGCCTTTTGGGTGGCCCTCTTCCTGTGCGCGGCCCGGCGGAGTTTTGTCTTGGGGGGGTGTCCCTTCTGGGGATCCCGATGCGAGGGCGGATTGGAACCTCAGGGAGCTGAGAAGATGCCCCGCCCACACTTGGAAACTGCATACCTTTTGCAACACCC